TGCATGCATCCCGGTTCGGTACAGTGCCACGTCAGCAGCGCCACGTCACAGTGCCAGATCAGCAGTGCCATGTCAGCAGTGCCACGTCACAGTGCCAGGTCTCAGTGCCATGTCAGTAGTGCCAGATCAGCAGTGCCACGTCAGCAGTGCCAGGTCAGAGTGCCACGTCAGACTCAGTGCCACATCAGCAGTGATGTCAGACAGTGCCACGTAAGCAGTGCCACGTCAGACACAGTGCCACGTCAGACACAGTGCCACGTCAGCAGTGCCATGTCAGACACAGTGCCACGTCAGACAAAGTGCCACGTCAGCAGTGCCACGTCAGCAACATGACGGGCCTGCCAGGCCAACTGGCCAATGAGCCCATTGCCGACTACAAAAAGCGCGTCCATGCTCAGCTCGCTGCAATCGAGGCTGAGGAACAACGCCAGCTGGCAGTCAAGGCTGCCCAGCTATAGGCGGATGAAGCGGCAACAGCAGAGAAGCTGTGGCTACAGGCCGAAGCAGACGCAGATGCCCAGGCTCGCCGCAAGGAAGCCCAGGCTCTGCTGCAGCGGCATGAAGCCAACAGCATCGAGAAACTCAAGTACTGGCACTTTGAACCGAACGGCGACGAGCCAACACCGGAAGAGCATCATAAGGAGTTCATGGCCAAGCTCGTGAGTAGGTTGGTTTACACATGTAACCACCTACAGTCCGAGCTGGCAAACCTTCAGCGGGTCGTGCGGAACCATAAGATTCAGCACGAGGATGCCACACGGGCACTGGACGCCCGTGTACTGGGCCTGGAACAGGCTGTGCCAGGACCAGATGCTGGAGCTTCCAGCAGTGCATCCTCTAGCCGCCAACTGGAGGAACACGTTGACCAAGTCGTGGCAATGCTAGGAGACATAAGTGTCTTCACAGAGCCGGCCACCATCAGCCAGCGGTTCGAGTTGCTGGACACTAAGATCAGTCAGCAACAGCAGACTGACCACAGCCACAACAACAGCTCGGCGAGGCCATACAAGATGCCGACGTTCCGGATCGAGAAATTTGATGACTACACACATCAAGACCCGGTCGTCTGGTGGCAAGGATTTACAACGGAGTTGGGGATTCACGAAGTCCCTGACCATCTGTTCATCAGTGCTCTGTTCATCAACACCAAGGGAGGTTGTCAGATCTGGCTCAGCCACATGGCAACCATCCACGGCGTCCAGGTTTCAGACCTGTACAAGAAGGTCTCCTGGGAAGACATGACAAAGGAATGGAAGAAGCGGTTCATCGTCGACGACGCCCAGGCACTCGCCGTCAAACGCATCTTCACGATGGCTCAAGGGAGCACACCGACATGTGACTGGCTCACGGATTGGCAGAAAATTGTGGCGACGCCCGATTTGGACTTGTCATTTTCGCATCTACGGCGTGAGTTCTACAACAGGTCATGCGCCGCTCTCAGCCTCGCACTTGGTGATTGCGAGCAGTACAGCACTTTCGCAGAGATCATCAACAAGGCGAGAGAGCTCATCAAGACTAACAGGCCGGCTGCACACGAGAAGTCCACGTGGCAGCCAACCTATGTGGAGAAGGTACGAACTGGTCCGCGACAGCAGCAGTTCGCTGCAGTCCAGTCGGACAGTGGAGATAACCCAGCAGCCACTCCAGCATCAAGTGACGGAGATCAGGTAGCTTCTGTCCAACCGCGAAGCACCAACAAGTCCCGCAACAATGGGAAGGCGAAATCCGCATCGCGGGCAGGAAATGGACAGCCATGACAATTTCCATGGGTCAAGTTTGGCTTGACCGAGGCGGAGTACAAGGTCCGCAGCCGCTACGGCAGCTGCTATTGGTGTAACAGCACCAAGCACAAGACCTCCCTGTGCCAAGATCAGGGCAAGGAGGATGTGCAACCCCGCCTCAGCTCGGAAAACTGAGCTCCGCGGAAGGTGAGGCGACTCCACCTTCCACTCCGCCAGATTTGGCCGCCTTGCTAGCGGCCTCCTGCACATCTGGGGAGGATGCGAATGTCGCAAGTCCTCGGTATACTTACGAGGATTATGCTGTCCACTTGGTTCCACCGCTGGACCAACCGCTCCACGTGCAACAGTCCACCGCATGCACGGTTTCATCACCATCGGCAACCGATTTGGCAGCTTCGCCGC